CAGATAAAATATAAAATATATTCCCTGAGTCATAAAAATGTTCTTTTTCACTCTTAAAGCAATTTGCGTAAAAAAATTTCAATATGTGCAAAAAAATTTTTGTCTTTTCGGTGACAAATATTAATTGGTTAATAAAATAATAATATTGTCAGGATGGTTTAGTTGACAAAACATAACTAGTCATCATAAATATATATAAGAAATTTATTTTAAAATAATTGCCTACTTAATATATAACACGCTCAAGAATACTGAACGTGTTTACAATTACAGTGTTTACAAAACCCCTACTCTGATCAAATCAGGTATACCTTTTCAAATAGTTCTATATTTCTGGCTATAAGCGTATCATTCTGTAGTGAAAATTTTATGCATGGATAACGAATTCCATACTGTGTAGCGATCATGGGGAAATCGAGAAATTTAAGTATCCATGAGCGTAATAAGATTATTGCCCTTTGTGAACTCCAAATGAGTTATCATGCCACTGCAAAAAAATTGAAAATGGACAGGCACATGGTCGTTTATAATGTTAAAAAGTACAAGGCAACAGGTAGTGTAAAAAATAAGCGCCGAAAGCCAAAAAGAAAAACTACAGCCAAAGAAGACAAATACGTTTACCAAATGAGTTTACCAAAAGTGTATGTAAGAGAAAGAGTTGATGAAAAATATATCGATGATTGTTTAGTTCCCAGTGTGAAGCATGGTGGTGAGTGGTTTAGTCATGGTATAAGGTTGTTTTGCTGGGTTAAAAGTAGGCGATCTGGTTAAAATTGATGAAATTTTGAAAAAAAAAAGTTACAAAAACATTTTACAAAGCATGCAGTGATGCCACGGTTATGATTAGTTGGTCGATAGTTTGAATTTCAACATGATAATGATCCCAAACACACTTCCATATTATGTAAAAATTATTTGTTGAATTTAGAAAGACAGAAAAAGCTGAAAGTCATGCAGTGGCCACTACAATCGCCTGATTTAAACCCTATCAAGTTACTTTGGGAAGAACTTGATCGATCTGTGAGAAAGTGTTGTCCAAAATCTGCATCTGATTTATGGAAAATTTTACAAAAAGAGTGGAAAAATCTTTTCCACTCAACATTGGATAAACTGATTACAAGAATGCCAAGGATACGTCAATTTGTAATCAAACACAAAGGAGGACATTTTGATGAGAAAAAAGTTTAATTTTTTCATACAAGTATAGTTTTGTTATGCAACATATGTTTTTCATTAACTTTCGTTACTTATTATTGATACATCACTTGGTGCATCTACTTATTTTAAAACTGTTTAGTTTGAAGAATATTTTGTGAAAAAATTATTTAGTTTATGCTTTTATTTTAATGTTGATGAACAGTCTACCTAAGGTAGTAATTGGAGTATTTCACATGAATATCTCATTTGAATTATGATACCTACTTACTTATCCATGCAAATTAAATGAGTTACCCAATTAAACAAGTGTTTTTATTTAAATCCTGATATAACGGGGTTTCTGCTCAGCTTCGCCTGGACAGGAACAGTTATATAATATCTAAATCGCGGGAAATAAATTAGGTTGCTCTCCAGAGCGGCACGGTGCTCCTGCACCGGGTGTCCTGGGTCCAGCAGCTCAGTTGCCTCCTTTTCAGTCAGAAAGCTTGGCCCGCGGAGAGTGTCGTAGGCTACGCGTGAAGATGCGCGACGGCCAAAGAGAGAGATTCGCGCGTGTACAGTCGCATACACAATCGCAATTCAAGGAACGGGGAGTCGGCGGACAATAAGCACTCGAATAGGATTAAAAGTAGAGGCGTGTAAATTTTAATCAGCAACAAAGGAATACATAGTATCGAAACGCGTCGATATAAACAATGTTAATCGCAACGCAACAAACTCGCAATAGTTTGACAGTGAAGCGAACGGAACTGCGCACGCGCTACGCGGTTAAGGTCGCGCAAGTACTCGCTCTGTTGTGAGCTGTGCACACTGGCGACAGCGAACCGGCGCGCACCGTTCGAACGTGGAAGCGACAGCGCTTAACCTCGTCGAAGCCAGTAACAGCGAAATCGCCTCGTAGGAGCCGGGTGTTCGCGAACGGCAAACCGCACTTATTCGTCTCAGATACGACGAATATATAAAAGCGACAGCACGTTCGCGGAGAGAGAGGAATTGCCGGTACCAACCGTGGCCGCGGCGCAACGTGTACAAAAGAAAAGGCGAGCGTAAACGCGCGGCTTAGTTAACGCAAAAAGGGAGAGAGCGGTATAGAGAGAGAAGCCAGGTACTAGATCTGGTACTTACAGTATAGCCGCTTGTACACCTATTCTAACCCGCAAACCGAGGGCACACGATAGCGGGCTCGTTTCTGCTGCGTATTCGCTTCCGCTGGTCGGCTGGTTCGCAATAACGCCTCTCTTCTGGTGTATGCAGCGTACGTAGGCGCGTGTAAGGCTGGATGTTCGCGGTAGGCCTCGGCTCGCCAGAAGGAAGTCGAAAACACTCCTGACGACTCGCGCGAGGAACGTTAACCCGTCGATCGTCGAAAACGGACTATATCAATTTTCGAAACTCTCTCTCTCTCCTCGCAAGGAAGCGTCTCTCCGCGAGGTCCGCGCCGCGAGTCGACATCGATTATCGTACGCAAGTCGCGTCGCTTACCAGTTCGCTGACGTCCGTAATGCTGTAACTATTCAAACGATATGATAATTTATAATGTTTATTAAATATATTAGTTACTGGCTTCTTGGGGAGAGAGAGACATAACGAATATACAAACGATTCGTTATACTGATACTATAATTTTTGTCACCGAAAATTATTCTAACAATATTATTATTTTATTAACCAATTAATTTTTGTCACTGAAAAAAGACAAAAATTTTTTTGCACATATTGAAATTTTTTTACGCAAATTGCTTTAAGAGTGAAAAAGAACATTTTTATGACTCAGGGAACATATTTTACATTTTATCTGATTTATGGGAAATTTAAAAAAAAGAGAGGAAAAATCTTTCCCAGAGCCAAAAAATTTGAAATAACTTTTTTTTAAAATAAATCAAAAATAAAATTTTACGTTATTCTACGTAAAAAACGAAACATTTTTTTTTTATAATTTTTTTTCTATCCGTTGAATGCACGGAGATATGAAAAGTTGAAGTAAAGTGTAAAATTTTGGGAAAACAGCTGACACCGGCATCATATACGATGAAAATAATTGTTTAACGAGTGATTTAGATAGGGTTTGGAAAGAGCCACAAAATGCCGTGCTCCACACTTTATGTTATTTTTTTTCGAAATTTGGCGGAAAATCAAAGATGAACAATAGAAAAAAAATTTTATTATATTCATAATTTACACCATTTGAAAGCACTTTTCAAGAGCTTTCATATGCGTCACGGCCCGACTCTGTACGTTAATTTGCACAAAAAAAGGACAATTTCAAAGTTTTAATAATTTTGTCCAAGGGGGGGGGGGTTAAAAGTAGGTGACCGGGAGTGTATATATTAAAATTAATTGTCGTGTTGTAGTAATTGTGTCCTTCCTGGATTTTCTTTTACTTTTATTTCTAACATACACAACTTGGATTTGAGACTACGAGAAGGTTCTTTTTGTTGAGTCAGCCGAACATCATCGCTTCCCGATATCCCTGTTCGTTATTTTTTTATTAGTCACCTGAAGCTTAGGGCTTATAGTGAATAAAACTAATTGAGGCTTTCTTATGATACACTAAAATACTTCGCTCCTAAGTAAAAAGTGCCTGGACCTCCATACGATGTTGCCTAAATAAGCTGAATCTCTACATGATTTTATCTAAACTGACTAGATTTCAACATAATCTTAGATTAACTTTCACGCGAGTGCGCAAACACTCAGAAATATCTTTCTGAAGGGTTTAGGGGTTTCAAGACCTTTTAGCTGGCGGGAACACTTAAACGCTGAACTCAATTAGTCGGGAGCCAGGGATTTCATACTATGTGAGCGATATGTTCTGTCAATATCGCGGCGGTAGATAACAGTTGTGACAGTAGCTTCTTGATGCTTAAATCTGTACAAATGAACAAACAGGTCTACACGCTTTAAGATGATGTAGAAAAAATGATTTTGATTACAATATGAAAGTTTATCTGTAGAATTTCCCGCTTTTTCCAAATCCGGAATACAAATCTAAATTTGAATATCATACGAGTATCGTCTTGGAATGATCCAGATATCAAGTACCTCATCTGAACTCCCTAGAACTTCCCGCTTTTTCTAAATCTGAGCTCAGAAATAGAGGTTGCTACTTAAAAAAACATAGTTACCCTTGAAATTACCTTGAAAATCAAGTTCAAGGTCAAGTTTGACATTATTATTAGATAATTTGTCTCTGAACCATATAATTTTTATTTACATTTCTTAAGACTTCGCAAAGTATCTAGTTATTTTACTATCTAAGTTATAATGAGACATCCTGTAAAATGATTGATTGTATGCATAAGAGAATACAATATTTAATACGTTGCCACTATAATTTTACACTCTTTTAATTGATAATAAAAGCTACTTAGCCTCTCGGACTCGATGCATCTGCTCCTCTTTACTCAGTTTCTGCATTCTATGGATTCTGTTATAGCCTAAGTTAACAATTTTTACGTGACTTACATCTAAATTTTCCATACAGAGTACTGAAAAGTATCGTATACAAGTCAGGTTTATGTTTTATTCACTTGCGTGACCATGTGTTATTCATACTTTGTTTCATTGAGCGCTCACATATGGTCGTCACTGCTCGTGTGTAAAATCATACTTCATATCTTTACAGTATAATATACTATTGCAAATAAAAATATTTATGTAACTCACATTCTATAAATTAAAATGATTATAGTTGTATTATTTTAGGGAAAAAAATATATTGTTCAAAAAGATAACAACGATTATACGTCGATGTAGTGAAAAATAAAGACAGTAATCAAAACATAAAATATTTTGTGTTTACTATTTTTTAGGTGTACTTAAAATGTTTCTATTTCTTACAGAGCCAGATGTAGGAATGCCAACACCTGAAGCTCGAAAATATTTTAGGCAATTGATTTTAGCCGTTGAATATCTTCACAGTAGAGGCGTTGCACACAGAGATCTGAAACCAGAAAATTTATTATTAGATGCTTTTGATAATTTGAAAGTATCAGATTTTGGCATGGCAACTGTGTATCGATTACAAGGCAAAGAACGTTGTTTACATAAAAAATGTGGTACTTTACCTTACGTTGCTCCTGAAGTACTCGAACGTCCCTATCACGCAGAACCAGCTGATATTTGGTCTTGTGGTATTATCTTAGTTGCCTTATTAGCTGGAGGTAAGGAAATATAAAATATTTGTAATTTTAAGATAAAACATTTTTAAATCAAATAATAAAGACTTAAACAAAATGCCATTTTCAACAGTAACTTTCCAGTCTAAATTCTTATGCAATATTAGTTTTCTATTATATTTCTTTTTTTGGAATTCCTACACACTTCTCGAGCTTCTAAAAAACCTTGCTCACTATCATAGGATAGGAGGTATTCCTCCCTTTTTTTCTTTCTTGTGTCTATATGTACATTGCCGGTCACCTACATTGGGCCCCCGTTGCCAAAATTAGTTCAACTTTAAAGTTTAATGTCTCTGGTAAAAATTAACGTATAGAGTCGCCCAAGAGCGCGTAAGTCTTTCCAAGAGCTTTCAAATGATATGACTCATGGATGCCATCGATTGTTTTTTAATTTTTTGCAAACAATAGTTTAACATTGAAAATTCAGAAAATGTTTTGCTAACTTTCAAAATTTCCCAAATCTGGAAAAAATCTTACAAAATTTGAGTCAAAGCATTTTTTAGCTTTTATCAAGCTCTATCTAAATCACTGGTCAAAAAATTATTTTCGTCTAAACCGACGTGCTCACGGGCATTTTTTCCGGGATGTGAGTTTTTTTAAACATTATTTATTTCCGTAAATTCTAAAAATTCAAAGAAATGTATAAAAAAAAATGTTTGTTTTTACAAGTGATATTCTGTACTAATTTTTTTTTAATTTTTCAGAACAAAAATTCAATTTAAAAAAAATTTTTTTTCACAGCTGGTACGCCAAAAAGATAAAACACTACATCAAATATTTTTTTTCACTCATTCAATATTATTCAATAAATATTATAAATTTTGCAAAAAAATGAATTTTCTCTTTTTTTTTGGTCTTACAAGGAAAGTACCCTAGGTGTCCCTCTCCGATTTCAATAAGACTGAGATATGTTATAGTGCATCAAAAAATAAAAGACACGTATCAATAAAATACAATCACATTTTTTTCAATGTCTTCGGTTCTATTCAACATTTATCTATAAAACAAAATGGAAAAGAATTGCCATGAAAAACGCAACAACAGCATATAGGTTTCGATAATAATGGTTGCAACCCTTAGATTTAATAGGGGTAAAACTGTATTTTCCTAGTATTATTTTTCGTGTAAAATTTTACAGAACTGATAAAAAAATATAAAAAAATGTTTTTCAAATACAAAATGACTAAAAAAGGTGACCTGTTTCGGTGTTTCCGCATAATCTTTTGTTACGGTGGTAATCCACCCCTAAACCCTATTATAAAGCAATATAGATAAATAACACAATAAATGAGTCCTCGGTTTTTATAAAATTGTGATATGTTATAGAGCACTGAAAAGTAGGGAATACGTATCTTTAATCAGCTAATATTTAATTAATTTTCAATAACTTTTATGAACTATCACAATAATGATAGTCTTTAAAAAAGTGTTTGAAGCATAAAGATTTTTTACACTAAGCACAGCGAACTATTGCAATATTACTGCAGCCTTCAATCTCGCAATGCGTTTGCAAGAATCTCCAAAGTTGAAGTCGACAGGGTTCTCAAATTTTCCAGGGTTTGCATCAAGGTAACCACTTTTGTACCAAGAATATTTAATAAGATTTTTATATCTTGGGGATGAAAATTGGTTGTGGACTAGAGATTGCAGTTTAATAATATTATTACGTTTATACAATTGCATCTCATAATCCATTAAAATTACTTTGTCTGAAAAATGTCTAACATAATTTTTCCAAATGCGAAAGTCAAATACGTCCAAAGGTTGAATTTTTCCTGTAGTTCCTGTAGGAATTTTTCTTATATTTACTTCTTTATTAACAGGTGTAACTTCTTCTACTATTTTACGACAATGCCCACTCCAAGAATCTAATAGTAATATACTTTTAGGACTAACTTTCGGAAAATATAGTTTTTGTAACCAAATTTTAAAATGATCAGAAAAAAATTATGTTTTTTAATGTTTTTGCATGGTTTGCGGGTATTCCCGTAAAAATTTTACTTTCGGTAAATAAATATTGATAAATACCTGAAGTCAGTTTTTCAGATTTTGATGCTTGAACATGTACATTTTTAGGTCGAAATAAATTAGATCCAACAAGTGGTCCAGACTGACCGCTTTTTTCTTTTAAAAACTAGGAAAAGTGGTGAAAGTAATTCTCCATCACTTGATATTAGAGGCTGTATTGTATAACTATGTGCTGTAGACGATACTGATTGTACAACACACTGCACCTGTTTTTCTCCTTCAACAGCTAATGTTTTACCAGAATGTATCTCTAACTGGAATCCACTTTGATCAAAGTTGAATACATTTTCCATTCCTACCTCTTCTGCACATTATTTAACATCAGTTACAAATTCATTTGCATGTTTTTCTAACTCTGCGGCACTTTCTACAGTTTTTCTGGTTACGAATTTATTAATTTTTCTTGATACCATTCTGTGTGTTTTCTTGAAACGATTAAGCCTGTGATTCGAAGCTTGTAATGCCCATTTACGGAAGTCTGAATCATGAACGACCAATCCCACTTCAATTGCAGCTTTAAAATTTTCCTATGTAAATTGACATATTCTAGCCATTTTCTCTCTATATGTCCCTCCTTTATTTAAAGCATGAACCCAACGTTGCAACTGACTTATAGAACTTAGTTTCTTAAACTTTTATTTCACTGATTCAAGACTCAAATTTTTGTTTGTTTACTGCTTCTCCAGTATTCCACTGCTTTTAATTTATAATCATATGATATATCTTCTTCATCTTTAGTACATTCATTTTTTGGTGAAAAAGGACGATCTGGAAAGTGGCGCAAGATTTCATCTTCAACAATTTCAGCTTCCATATCTTTAAATGGTTCTTGGAAATCAAACGTTTCATCTGTTATTATTTCTACTTCATTAAAATCATTCATTACATCTAATAAAATCGTTTCAATTTTATTTGCGATCTCAATTTCTTTAAAATTAACTTAACTTTCGGGAATATTTAAAGATTGAAAAGGCGTAAGAACAACATTGACCACGTTTATTGGATTTATTTTCATATTGAATCCCATAAAATTAATTAATTACTTCTAATAAAGTTAAAATTAAAGTCTATTTTGTGGCGGGGAATTTCGGGGGTTTTAACTGCGCTACGAATTTCTTCCGCCACAAGGCCTGTTAGACTCACTACCCCCGATTATTTAAGGCGCCAGATCGCCGGCTAATTAGGGTGATCGTCGGGGGTAGGGCCAAAATGGAGTTTCGTCGCGGGTATCCCGGCTTGCCTTCACGGCGACTGCGCAGGGTAGGCAAGCGGGTGAGTACTCGCGATTTCCTCAGTTCAGGCCTCGGTGTCCAACTACTCGATTCCAATTTTTCCTGCTCAATTATAGTAAGCTGGCAGCTCAGATGATGGCTCCTTAATTCAGGTCGTAAGTCCGTTCGAATTCGCGCGTATGTTACCTATCGTGGGACCCGAAAATATAGCGAATCAGCGTTACCCGATTATAACCGCCCGCGGCTGAAAATCACCAGCATGTAATTAAGGCAGGCTAACGGAAGTAAATTGTAGGTAAACAATTAATCACTTTATTGACGTATTTATAAATTTATAAGCAAGAAGTCGGAGTGATTAGGGACAGTACAACTCTGAATAATTATGAAATAGCAAGGGTACAAATTAATCGAAATTGAATAATTTTCCGGTTGGTCATCGATTAACAAAAATGGTGGAATGGTCAGCGCAAATAACTAAATCACGAATTTTCTTTGTCTGATCTTAACGTTCATGTTCGGTTTGCGAAATGGCGGGAAGGTCAGCACAATTAAATAAGCACGGTAAGCTTATTTGGCTAATTCTGCGTTCACAATAAATCGTTAGCGAAAGGTCAGCGCAAATATCCTAAATCACGAATTTTCTTTGGTTGATCTTAACGCTCATGTTCGGTTTGCGAAATGGCGGGAAAATCAGTTCAATTAAATAAGCGCGGTAAGTTTATTCGGCTAATTCTGTGTTCGCAATAAATTATTAGCGAGAGGTCAGCGCGAATCTCCTAAATCACGAATTTTCTTTGGTTGATCTTAAAGCTCACGTTCGGTTTGCGAAATGGCGGTAAGATCAGCACAAATAAATAAGCACGACAATTCTATTCGGCTAAATGGCGAGCAGGTCAGCGCGAATAAATTAATTCAATAATGTTATTCGCCTACTTCTGCGTACGCAATAAAATTCTATACGGCAAAAGGTCAGGGCGGATAATTAATCACGACCTCTAATTCATATAAACCTAACACTCACTTTAGATCTAGGAAATGGCGGAAAGGTCAGCGCGATTCGATAGGCACCGGCATCGACGGATCCACGCGTCGCGACGACCTACGGCACTGATAATTTATTCCCGCACTCCACGATTAATATAAGTGAGTGGCACTTTGCCTACTTACGATTCTTCGTTACTGTTTCGGCGAACAAAATTAGCTAATTTCGGAATGCTGCGTTCAGATCACAGAATGCCTGCGTAATTAGTCCTGTGACGAAATTATCTGGCTCAATCACTCCTTCTAGCTAGAAGACCGGTGGCAAAATGGACGAGAATCGGCTTTTCGCGGTCAAAGATCGCTTTTCTTCTCCTCTTTCCGAGAAGAAATGTTATTATTGGTCGGTATGCTAATTCGGATATCGGTAGCGCCCTCCGAATATTTTATCATTGGTCCGTATGTAAATTAGAAGGACATAGCGTCCTCCTTAACTCTCCTACTTTCGTCATTATTTACCCTCTCTCACCCCCCACTAAGGTAGCTATCATTAATTGTCGGAAAAGTTCTACCCCTACTCTTATCTATTTTTCTATCCGGACGGAAATCAAATTTTATTCTAATTCGCTGATTAGTCGTGACGTCACTAGCGAATTTCGTCAGAGGTTCGAATTCTGTCGGTTAATTTATTGCTTAAACCTAACGGGGTAGTTGTCGCTCGCTATCATAATAGGGGTGTTGGTTGCA